ACAGAAGTACTTATATTTCCTAAATATACTTTATGTTTAAAAGCACTGAGTATCCAGTAGTTAAGCAGTTGTGCTGACAAAGCAGAGTCAAATAGTAGGAGTCCATCAGCTGCTCTGCAAGAGAATGATGAGTAGTTACCTCAAGTGTGATTTCCAGCTTCTGAAAATTCACTGGAAAGTCAGCTCTGAGCTGATTCCGAGTCAAGAGCAATGAATTTGTCTTAAGAGTAAAAAAAAATATTCTTCTACATGCAGTAGATAGAAGTAATTCCTTTTTGCTGTGTATTTTGTCCCTTTCAGTATAAGTTCCTTAATTTGTTAATATTGTTATGTCTTTTTTATGACATTCATGTTTCCATATACTTAGAAATTAGTCAGATGTTGTCCTTGTCATTTGCCATAGTAAAGGTCCTAGATGCTTGCTCTTGAAGTTTTATTAAGGGAGGTCCTTGGTTTGTACCCTTAAATTTGCATTTTACTCCATTTCTGGAAGATTATTTCTACAACTTATGTGAGGAGAGTTCCAGTTAATTTTTGCAGTGTGGTCACTTGTTTATTCACCTGTCTTTTATATTATGGGTTATGTGCAAATTATGGGTTGTGTACAAGTAATTTTGAACAATTTCAGCATCTTAGACTTTCTTTCCTGGGTATTCATTCCCTCTTACTTTTCAGGTGGAGAACATTCTAGATCTGTACAATCAAGACAAGCCCGTGACACCCTTCCTCTTTTACTGTGATCGGAAAGGAAGGACCTCCACTTTTGAGTCTGTGGTCTTCCCTGGTTGGTTCATTGCCTCCTCGAGCATCGGCCAGCCTATCTTTCTCACTTCAGAGCTGGGGGAAACATATAACACTGACTTTGACTTAACTCTGGAGTCTTGAATTCAACCTGAAAGTGGCAGCTTTTAATTCTTAATGTGCTTTCATGTATTTTTTTTTCTCAGTGTCATTTTCATACTCATAATGAGAGGTGAGCAGCCCTCCAAGTGCCATCTTATTTTGTGGATAAAGATTAAATTATGACTCCATGGTAACTGAAGAGTTTGATGTGGGTATATATTTCTCTCAAGCTGATATATATATATATATATAATTTCTCTCAAGCTGAAGTTGTCCGTATCAGAGTAATCTGCACTAGTGACTTCAAAACCAAAAGTTCATGGAATTTCTGATAAACCAAACATGAGAAGCTTCAAAATGCAAAAGAATGTTATCTAAGATTGTGTGACTGGTATCAAACTGATCTTTGTTTCTGTATTCTTTTCTTGATTGTATAAAGTCACTGTGTAAAACAAACAAACAAACATTATGTTCGTAGTTTTCTTCAGCGTGTACACAATTCTTGCGTTAAAGTACTTGTGTCCCAATTTTAACATGCTGTTGTTGTTGCTAAGTGCCGTCAAGGCGTTTCCGACTCATAGCGACCCTATGCACAACAGCCCTAAACCCTGCTCTATCCTGCGCC